CGCGTGCCAGTGTAAACATGAAGCAGATGGTCTATTCCGTAGTTACAGAAGAATTATCTGTTCAAGATGAAATATAATTTGTATTTCTGTCTATAGTGACAATGACTTATTGACATCATAAAAGTTTACAAAGCTAAACCTGATCTGCATCCTTATACTGTAAGTACTCTTCACTCCAAGTGGGGTTTAAAGTTGTGTAATGAATTAGTGATCCCAAAATAACATCTGTTTTGTTGTGATATTATTAATTCATTTGCTCAGCTGAGAAAACATTTATATTAGACCATGCACAGTTACATTACTACACAGAAATCATACTGAAATTGGGCAGGGTACGGAAGAAAGTTACTTTTATGATCAAACTGTTACTGCTGATAAAATCTCACAAAGTGCTTCTAAGTCGTCATGGCAGTTAAATCTAGAAATTAAAATTGAGGATGGTAAATGGATATACATCCCTCTGAGCAGTGGTCCCCAATCTGTTTTTTCTGACATACACTACAGCCCTGTTAGATATACTAAGGTATGCCATCATCCACACAATTACACAATACTGTATGTTCATTTTCATTTATTGGATAGATGCAACTGGATGTTATTTAATTGTATTAAACAAGATGTTTTCATACAGTTGAACTGCCAATGTTTAGGTCCATTAGATCAAGTTTGCATTTGTTGCCTGCTACCACTTGGATTGGCACAAGATGGACGTATTAACCATTTATCCATTAGCTAACTTTTTTTGACCATTTATCTGATATATTGAGCTTTTTAGCAAACAATGCTGTTACTTTTAGCTAATCCCTTCAATCCACCAATTTAGCTGTCTATTACAACTATCTGTCCATTACTTTTAACTATTTTAACTGTTTATCATTACTTTTAGCTGTCTATTTTAACTGTTGTCTATTTTAACTGTTTATCATTACTTTTAGCTGTCTATTTTAACTGTTAAAGATTACTTTTAGCTGTCTATTTTAACTGTTGTCTATTTTAACTGTTTATCATTACTTTTAGCTGTCTATTTTAACTGTTAAAGATTACTTTTAGCTGTCTATTTTAACTGTTTATCAATACTTTTAGCTGTCTATTACAACTATCTGTCCATTACTTTTAACTATTTTAACTGTTATCATTACTTTTAGCTGTCTATTTTAACTGTTGTCTATTTTAACTGTTTATCATTACTTTTAGCTGTCTATTTTAACTGTTAAAGATTACTTTTAGCTGTCTATTTTAACTGTTTATCATTACTTTTAGCTGTCTATTTTAACTGTTAAAGATTACTTTTAGCTGTCTATTTTAACTGTTATCAATACTTTTAGCTGTCTATTTTAACTGTTGTCTATTTTAACTGTTTATCATTACTTTTAGCTGTCTATTTTAACTGTTTATCAATACTTTTAGCTGTCTATTTTAACTGTTTATCATTACTTTTAGCTGTCTATTTTAACTGTTAAAGATTACTTTTAGCTGTCTATTTTAACTGTTTATCAATACTTTTAGCTGTCTATTTTAACTGTTGTCTATTTTAACTGTTAAAGATTACTTTTAGCTGTCTATTTTAACTGTTAAAGATTACTTTTAGCTGTCTATTTTAACTGTTGTCTATTTTAACTGTTTATCATTACTTTTAGCTGTCTATTTTAACTGTTAAAGATTACTTTTAGCTGTCTATTTTAACTGTTAAAGATTACTTTTAGCTGTCTATTTTAACTGTTTATCATTACTTTTAGCTGTCTATTTTAACTGTTAAAGATTACTTTTAGCTGTCTATTTTAACTGTTTATCAATACTTTTAGCTGTCTATTTTAACTGTTGTCTATTTTAACTGTTAAAGATTACTTTTAGCTGTCTATTTTAACTGTTAAAGATTACTTTTAGCTGTCTATTTTAACTGTTGTCTATTTTAACTGTTTATCATTACTTTTAGCTGTCTATTTTAACTGTTAAAGATTACTTTTAGCTGTCTATTTTAACTGTTAAAGATTACTTTTAGCTGTCTATTTTAACTGTTTATCAATACTTTTAGCTGTCTATTTTAACTGTTGTCTATTTTAACTGTTAAAGATTACTTTTAGCTGTCTATTTTAACTGTTGTCTATTTTAACTGTTAAAGATTACTTTTAGCTGTCTATTTTAACTGTTAAAGATTACTTTTAGCTGTCTATTTTAACTGTTAAAGATTACTTTTAGCTGTCTATTTTAACTGTTTATCAATACGTTTAGCTGTCTATTTTAACTGTTAAAGATTACTTTTAGCTGTCTATTTTAACTGTTAAAGATTACTTTTAGCTGTCTATTTTAACTGTTGTCTATTTTAACTGTTAAAGATTACTTTTAGCTGTCTATTTTAACTGTTAAAGATTACTTTTAGCTGTCTATTTTAACTGTTTATCATTACTTTTAGCTGTCTATTTTTTTCGTAGATGTGCCAAAAGGTACAGCATCCTTTAACATTTGTACCTAAAGTGCCAACAACATTTTTTGCCCATTTTTCATTCATTGTAGATTTACTCTTCAAATGTACCAACAACTTTTGTTGCAGTTTTTTTTATATCAGTTTTCTTCTACCTGATTTTTCTGTCTTTAGATGTATCCCTGTTTGTGTTGTGTGTTCATGTGTCTTTGCATTTGTCTGTTGTAGTGCCTGATTTTGGCATTTCTCTGAATATACACCTCCAGTTAAAGTGTGTGTTTGTGGGGGGAGGAAAAGTGCTCCAGGTGTGGTATGTGATAAGAGAATAGATGTAAATGTATACAGATCACATTCACACACTGTGTTGTTGTGTGCCGCAGTAGCAAACAAACCACGAGCTTAGAATTAAAACATTCTGTTTCCCTACAGATTATTCAAGCATGCTAAGCTTCAACGTTTTCAGCATCAATGGTCGTAAATGGAGATGGATCTCAAAAACATATTTTTTAAGAAACACTTGCCAAACACTTAGTTGATGCTTTTCAAATGCATTTATTTTGAAAAAATCATATCCTCATCAAAGTGTGAGGTTGTAATATTCAGGGCACTAGCCACAGACGGTGTGTTGGCCAGATACTGCATTGTGGGCATGCAAGGCTCTTTTGGGGAATTTGGGAGAGTTTGAGGGCAGTCTCTGCCTTTGTTCTGATGCACATATTACTCTTGCCTTGTCCTCGTTTTACCTCTCTATTATTCAAATATGGCCACCAGGAAAGGTGACTGGGAATCAAACAGCCATGCGCTCTTTAAACTGACTAATAAGACATCAAATGAAGCAGTATTACAGCCCACACACTTATACCTGAAACGGACAATACCACTGTTGAATCGTGGCCTCACTCTGTCTGATGTTTGGTTTAAGATATGCATGAATTTCAATAAATTATATGAATGCCACGTACCTGATGAAGACCCTCTGACTTGAACATTAATACATTGACGATACATGTAGTTAGACAAAGTATAATTAAACACTGAAACACTGTCTTAAATTTCTATTTTGATTTATGTGATTAATTACTAAAAACAGATTGAGACAAAACATTTAATTAAACAGCAAGACATCATCAAACTTCATTTCTGCTTAATGACAAGAAACATGAATTTAAATTTCTTGCAATCACATAAAGCCTCCTTTTAAGTGAGGCTTTAAAACATTTAAATGAAATAGAATGATTTGATTCAAAGGGGTTGGTTGCTCCCTATTGGAACTCTGATTCACTCAAACTCTTTGATTTAGCCTTTTCTTGGTAAACATCTATGTGTTGAATTCCGTTCCTTTTTCTTCATCTCTTTCTGCCTGCTCTCTTCTTAGACAACTTATGGGCCACCTGTGAAAATACTTAAACGTTATTAGTATGACTGGTGAAGAGCAGCATAGCAGTGGCAGTGCGTGGGCGGGAGCTCTAATATGATTGGCTCAGGGACACCGCAAGCCTGAGTGGCAGCAAGTAATGGGCGCCCTGGAGAGGTAACCCAACAGCTGTGTGTTTGCAGCTAATGAGAGATGGGGGAGGAGTAAAGGATCACACACTGGAAACACTCTGATAAACTCTTGCCTCAGAATGGCTTGGGAAGATATGAAATCAAGTTTTCTCCAGAGGACGTTGTTTAAGGCTATCCTTTGTGACAAAAGCTGTGTTTGACTCATTGCTCCTGGTCCATTGCTTATTGCTTAAGCAGTTATGATCACTGGCATCAGTGTTTGGGAAGAAAGGAAAGAGAATAACTGTGGCGGGGTGGATTTCGCTCCCTGCTGAGCAATGCTGATTTATAGCCCTGAGCAAAAGCATTGTTTTGTTTTTTTAATTACGTCTGCTGCGGTTTTAACACATGATGTCAGACATACGTTTATTCCAATATACACCAACAAAGTGACCTTTTTTTCCTGTTCAAGTGATAGTCATTGTTTTCACTGACAAGAAACCAACACTACAATATGCATTATTCCAACATAAAGCAATGTTAACAGTCAATCCCTCCTAATTTCCTCAGCTGATGCACAGGACTATATTATTTCCTTTCTTTATTATAACTGCCTGAGGGTGGCGCCAAATGAATAAATTGTGGCCAAGCAGCTTCCATTTTAGGCCATTCATTTTACTACATGGGATGAATATCAACAAGTAAACTGTGGTGAAGGCTACCTGTTACATATATATATATATATATATATATATGTATATATAAGTGTGTGTGTGTGTGTGTGTGTATATAGATCACTGCATTTTATGTCAACAGAAGCACCGATCGTCGAATAAAATGATTACAAGCCAGGCACAGTGACTTCATGATACGCTTATTTAATAGGGTGCATTCGGCTTTTTGAGGTGACCCAGTTTGATGAGCTCTTCTTAAACTGTAGGAATCACACAATTTCCTGGTAGGCAGCCCAGGCATAATGTGATGCTGAGTGTGAAGTTGCTGTGTGCTGCGGTGGATGGGAGCCCCACCTCCTCCCACGCTCTGATGAGTAGAGAGAGAAAAAGGGAGAGGGAGAGAGGGGAGCAACTAACCTACCCACAGTATCTCACCACTTGCTCTCTGGAAATGCTTCAGATAGGCTTGTTTTTTAGGACCGTTTAGCTATTCCGTCTAACGTTGCAAAAATGACATTTGTGTTGCCATCGTTTAGACATCCTGTGCGTCCTTAGAGCGCGCTCCAGGGTACTTATATCAGGGGAAGCGCTCGAGAAACTTGGACCGAAGGGATGCGCCAACGAGTGCATATCTTGGCAGGGATCAGTTGTTAAGGACTGGAAATGGCACACAGTAGGCCATGGAGTGAGACTCTCCGTTTCCCAGCTCTATCATAAAATAATCAAACACAAACAGGTCATAATTTGTAATATTTTCAGCGACAGAAATCTGTTATCAGTTCTGCAAGACTGCCGGACGACGGTGGACACAGGATCCTCATTTCTGATGCGGAAAGTTCTAAATGCTATGAATGGATTTTGTGGCTGCTGAAGTTCTTTTTATGTCAGCACTGTGACGGAGGTTTGAGGGTTAGACACCTGCCTCTGGGATCACCGGCGGACATATCAGCTGCGGACGGTTTGGCTACGCTGCAAGCGCTCATAGAGAAGTCTCTGGCTCAGGTAGGCTACTGAAATGACTGCAAAATGAACCGAGAAAGTTGTTTGTGCTTTTTCGACATTGTTGGAGATTTGTGTTGCGATTCGAATGAAGTTTCTTTAAAAGACATTTCTGACTTGTCTGAAGTGATGTCTAAAAACGCAGGCCGTGTTCCAAATAGACCGTTTATACAACAAGTTGTCCGCGGTGCACTCGCACACAATAGACGCGCCGACACAGCAGCGGCTCGGTGTTACAGGTTGATAGGACACAGCGAGAGAAAGGTAGCTGTGTAGATATGTCTCCCACAAAAATGACGCGCTGCATGATTGATTGGACGATGCACTGCAATTAAAACAAATCCGAGTAGACTAGAAGTCCAAGGCCCGTGAGTAATGGCATTAAAGTCATAAAGTCTGGTTATCATTGCACTTCACTTACAATATGAGTACATACGCTTCAACCTAATCTGTAGTGACGATCGGCTAATTGCATTTTATTACACCATTATGATTATGTGAAGCAGAAAACGTGATCCATTTGTATCACTCTCGCCATTTCGTGGATTCTAGCTGCAAACATCGCACTAATTATCTTTATTAGTGACTCTTTCTTTTAAGCTGTTTACTCGACCAAATAATTCTGGTGTATAGCCGTCCATGTTAGTAGCCTAACTAATGCGCTGTTTTCCTATGGAGACATTCGTGCATATATTTGGAGGGGGGATCTTTGATCAGCGCATCCGCACGGGTAATCTCCTGTGCTCTCTGGTAGGAGTCTGGGGTGTTGTTTCTCGCCACTCCACCGACCACCAGGCACATTTTAATAGTCTGCTTCACATAGTGATGTCGGTCTAAGTTCCCACACATACTGTAGGCTACAAGGCCGTCAAAACAGACCTGATCAAAACAGGCCTGTAACCAAGTTTTACCCCATATCCCATATTATGTCTATTAGACATAAACCTGATGGATGTGATGAACTAAGTCAGTTGATTATGAAGCAGTTGTGTGAGATTGGAGTTTGGCAAAAGACAGACTTAATTGGTCCTGCTAGTAATTCTTGTGAACAAGTTCTATCTATTTATCTATCAATCTATCAATCTATCTATCAATCTATCTATCTATCTATCTATCTATCTATCTATTCAATTCCATGGGACTTTTATTGGCATGGGAAACAGACATTGCCAAAGCAAGTGTAAAAAAAACATGTACATAGTAAATACATCTATTTACTGTATCTTCATATACAATTATGAATACAGGGCAAACGGATAAGCTGTCGGTTCAGTTCCCTCAATAATTGTATTCACTTGCTATGAAAACAGGTTGTTGAACCATGGTGAGCTTCACACATTTCCTATGCTCTCCTCTGCATGTTATTGTTCAGTATTCCGTCATTTAATGGAGTTTCTGAGGGAAGGATAACTCTTTGCCATTTGTTATCAATCAAATCAATCAAACAGTTATTTAAACCTGAGAGAGTGAACCTATAAAATAATACAAAAGCAGTAAAATACCCCTGAAAGGGAATCTAACAAAATTCTGATTTTAGTTGCATACAAAGACCAACAATGAATATAAAGTAAATGACCTGTCAGTGTGTTCATAACTTCCTTTAAACACTCAATGTCTGAATACAGCCTCTTTGATCTCAGTGTATTTAATGGGATTTTTTTGTGGTAGGTGTGACCCTCCATTAGTGTTTTTGTGTGGAGCAGCCTACATGAATACCTAAATGAAATACCCATGCCCTTAGCAAGTGTTTCCAACCAAAGACCATTGCTTTCCCATTACCAATGCCCAGGGTTTACAGTCACTAGAAGTGTTTAGAGTAACATTTTGTGGTAAATTCTATTGGTAGATCAGCTGTAAGGAGGGTTAAGCTGTGATGCTGCCCATCATAAATCATGCTGGTGGGAGGGTAATGTTATACTAGCCAAAGGCGCAGAATCATTGAATCAAACCAATATATCAAATCACATCAGTTGAGAAAATCATTACCTCATCCGTTATCTTTCCACACTCTAGCAAGCAGGGATGAGCGCATCTTATAGAAGACATTCACAAGCCTGTAACAGGTGAAAAATCAGATTCTGCAGAATACTGGCACTGCTGTTGGATCATTCTTTTCTCTGTAGTCACTGAAAAGCAAGCAAGTACTAGAAAATAGTCATTCCTATACACTGATGATTGTTTTTCCAGGCACAACCCACACCCTTTGACATTTTAGTAATTTACAATAATACCTCAATTGATTCTATGCTTGAGCCGTTTCTGCTGGACCTGTGGAGCAGCTAACTTAAAGAGCAAGTGTCATCAGTCACTACATAGTCTGTCTCTATGGTAACCAGGATCGGCACACATGCTCCACAACACAATTATTATTCTTCAATTTTTACATACCTTTTTTTTAATGTGAGAACACTCACATATGCAACCACACACTCCACTATATTTTTATATGGTATTTCTTTGATAACCACACACTTATTAGGGTTCAATTAATATGGTTGCTTCGTGCCCAACAACGTTTTGTCCTAAAGATGGACATCATAATGCGTAGCTAAGAATGCGCCAATCAAACACTGATTCCCCCTCCCACCTTTGAAATTTCAACATTCCTGAAGACTGTTTGACTATCCGTGTTGCAAAAGGTTTTTTGATATGTCACATGTGGAGCAGTTTTAGGGTGATTATTTTAAAGTCAGAGTGAATAAACAGGATCCAACAGTAGGAGCCACGGTGATAACAGATATTCCTGCATTGCCTGCTGACCACCATGCAAGCAGACTCCTCGTGGTGGAATGAGTTTGCCGTTTTTGTAAGAAAGGATGGTACCAAATTTGACCAAGAGGTCATTGTTATGACTGGGTTCAGCACCCCTGGGCTCATTAAGGCAATGAATTGTATCCCTCTTGGGAATGAGACCAACTGTGCACAATGTGCCACAGGTAGGGTCGGTGATTGTAGACATGTAGAAGTTGAAATGTTTTCTTGAACAGTGGGCTCAGCTGGGTGGTGCACTGTTTAAGGGCTCCGGGTGAGACGCAATCAGACCTTGCGGTTTGACTGATGTTTAGCTGCAAGTGAAGTCTTTCACCTTCTCCTCTGGGAGGAGCGGAGTGGCAGCTCTCACCCTGGGCACTGAGCCTTAAGGGAGAGGTGGAGCAATAGAGGATTGTAGGTAGTTTCTAGGAGGAATCTGGGAGTTCACAGTCATTCACTGTAAGACTGGAGGAAATGGGTTAATCCATGAGGTAAGGGAGAGATCACAAGGAAGGGGAAGGGAGGGACAATTATTCCAGTGCACATATTTTGATATGCATAAGCGACAGAAATGTGTGTTTATATATATATATATATATATATATATATATAGGAATTTCACTGACATTTCAGAATAAGCAATAACAGACTCCTAGGTGACACAGTGGGCAGGTCATTGGCAGGTGAAGGGGTATGCTTAGGTGAGCGTCTCCTGCAGCTTGTGAGTCTGTGGAGTGATGGCCATGCTGAGCATGAGTCATGCAACACTGACTCTCTAGTCTGGTCTTGTACTTAGACTTGGCACCCCTGATGGTCTTAATAAGCTGGGTTTTGGCCAGGCAGTATTCTTGCCACGTGGCAAGCCTACTCTGTGATGTTCCTCAGGATCTTATACTCCGTTGCTGAGCAGTTATGCCTTGACTGCATTAATTTTTGCAAAGTTAAACATCTTCGCTGGAGATATAGCAAATAGCAGACCCATCAGGCAGTTTGAGACTATCTTTGAAGGTCCACCTCCATACTGTGGTACATGCTGCCTCCAGTTTTTCTCTATGTTGGAACCATCTGGGGCATTGCATGAACACAGCATGAGGCTATGTGCTGAATGTTGCTTCAGTGGGAGAGTGGAAGTTCGCTCCTCAGTCAGACAGTGGATGCCTTGATTGTATTTGGAAAGATATGTCTTAAGAATATTTGTTGCTCCAGAGCATCACCATAAGTCTCTGGCTCAGTGTATGTGTTGTTTTCTCTTGTTGTGCAGGATGATTTTTGTAGCCAACGGCACTTACAGGAATTACAGTTTGAGGCCTTTAGGCCGTGCAGAGCCCTAATATCTCTGCAAGAAAGTTTAGTGTACACTGCACTCACACAACTTGTAGTACAGTAGAGGCCACCCAAGCACTAGATCTAAGTTGTCCTTTGGTGTAGCTATCACAAAGTAGTTCGGCAATGTTGTATGTATAATGGGGAGTCAGTGTCAAAGATAAAAACTCCACTCTGCTACCACAGTTCTTGGGTATTGACAGGGCAAGTTTTAATAACCAACATCTGTATACATATAAAAATATCTGCCCCACTTTTTGGCATTGTTATTGTAGACCCAAGAACTGGAAATGACTATAAATGTCTTGGAGTGATTGACCAGGATTGAAATATGACTTTCAACACATTGAAGAAACTAACTTCTTGTTCCTCCCTTTGATTTTATGCTGAGTTATGTTTTGTGATCTGCCTGAATCAGCTTGTAGTCTTGTGGGTCTACCACACCATCTGGGATGGCAGATGATAACCAAGTTTTTCAGAGAAAAAGCGCTGAGATGCAGGAAATGTCACTGCTAGTTGTGTTCAGCAGTTCTAATGTATCCATTTTGCTGCTCAGGTAGTGAACTTTGGTGAGACACGCAGTAGTCCAGTGTTTAAAAATCTCAGTACAATTTCCCCTTTGCCAATACCGGCTTTGAAATGAGGGGGAAAAATTGATGCTGCCAAGCTTTTGATAAAATATTTGCGAGATAGCTGAGAAATATGAGATAAAATCCAAAAGGCATGGTGTCAATAATATTTATTTAACCGATAAGTGAAAAGTGAGTGATGGCAAAATGCATATTTCACAAACATCATTTTACAATTTTAATGTAAATGTAAACAAAGAAAAAAGAACACCAATTCGCTCTGGCTGACAGGCACGGTGCCATCTGGAAGACAGGCATGAGGCCAACTGGAAGACATTAAGTCATGAGTGTCATCAACCATAACAATCATGTCACTATCAAAACCCTCCTATTCATTCTAGAAGTGCCTGTAATGGCAGGGGGATGGTTACAGCTAAACAAAACATTATGAAATTAATTACAGTTTTTATTTTTAAATGGCCATTTTGCAAAGATTGCTTCGCAAACATAAGAGTCAGGTAAGCTAAAGCATGTCATCGTGACCAACATTCTGGTCCTGTGTGTCAGAGTCGTTTGTAATAATCACATTATTCAAATTGCAATGCAAACAATGCTCTTATCAATTTGAGTGGTAATACATCTTCATTTAACTTAAAGGCTTATTGAATATAAGCAAGGATGGTAGTATGAAAGATTCACAATATAAATTACCTTTATTTTATTATTGTATTGCAAATTATGGCAGTTGTGTTTTGTATCCACTGATAATGTTTTTACTCCCGCCTGCCTTTTTTGTCTTATACATATGAACACACATAATGCACACTCACCGTTCGCGCCACATTGACTAGATGCTCCCCCTGCAAATGTAAAAAGGGACACATCGATAACTGAGCAATTAGTGCATCACTAACATGCGCTTCCAATTTGAATGTATTTGAAAGGAATTGGATTTCTCATTGAATTTCTGTATATTTGTGTTTTGCTGTCTAGCTTAATACACATTTGCTATGCACCTCTCTGGAACATTTTTTAATGTGAGGAGATGCAGAATGTACTGATCTAGGCTCAGAATAACACTATTTGCTCATATTTATGTACTGTATATTTCTCACAACCACACAAACTACTGGTGCACAGATCCCATTTGTTTTTTCCTGATCGAAACTCAGGGTAAAAATATGTGTAAGGTGATATAATGCTTCAACTACATACCTTTTAAACTAAAAGTGGTGATGTACGTACAGTAGCATTCTGTAAAGGCTTTTGCAAATAGACTCTGAACACAAGAGTCTGAACTGAAAGCATACACCACATGATTAGTGAGTAGACACTCAACAGATGTGCCACAACAAAAAAACTGGTAAAATTTTGATACCAGAGCACTGGACCTTGATACTTAACCTCAAATTCTGCTCCCATTTCAATTACCAATAGAACTCCACACACACACACACACACACACACACACACACACACACACACAAAGGAAATAATTATAGTCTAAAATCATTGTAGCATGAAAAAAGCAAGAATTCTTTAGCTAGAGGGAATATAGATCAAAGATGACACTAAAATAATGGGTCGTAATTACAGAGTTGAAAGGTTCAAAATCAAACATAATGATTGCACTGTTTGAGGTAGCCAGTAGCAAGGGAGCATTGATGGAAATTTCAACATTGTGCATTGTTGCAAGCTGCATATGATGATAATGGGCAAGTAGCATAGTCTACATGGGAAGATATGGCATTTTACGACCCTTAGAATGCAAGCCCTTGTTCTTAGAGGCCTCTCTGGTAATAACTTAGATGAAACGTGTCAAAAGATAATATCTTGGCAGGTTTGTTAGGATTTACTTTTGAGGGTATGTTTCTTACCGTAGGTTACATTTGAGCTACATTGCTTCAGCGCTCACTGTCTAGAAGTGTAATACTAAAATAATGAGTCTTAGGCTGTGTTTGCTGATTTTTTTTTTGGATTACATTTTTATTTGATTATGCCGTTGAAACAGTCCACACTGGGCCACTGGGTGTTACCTCACAACATATAATTTCTCGTTTCTATATTTGTTTCTACCTGACATTTTTTAATTTGAGACATCCATTGAAGAAATTGAAGCTCTGGGACAAAAGAAACCATGTTGGGATATAGTTATGATTGCATTTAAAAAAACATAACAAACAAATTCCCCCCTTTGTTGTTGTTGTTGTCTAATTATTATATTGTGCCTCTAGGCCTGCTTTAGGTTTTGGTATATCTTATTGACAAACATAATTCAATACTCTTTAGCTTGTTACAGTTAACAGGCATTTTACAGGTAATTATAAACATGATTTCCAAAAGTAAACAACGTTTTGACACAAATATTTTTTGTCAATTTTCAGGCAGATCTTCTGATGACCTAATGGAACTGAATTTACGAGTAGTGCTGTTTTGGGTCCTGGTGCTCCACTGTGGTTCTGCTGAAGGCAGTATCCTGTACCGGGTCCAAGAGGAGCAGCCTCCCAACACTCTTATTGGTAGCCTGGCCGCAGACCAGGGCCTGCCAGACTCTGGTCATCTCTACAAGCTGGAGGTGGGTGCCCCTTACCTTCGTGTTGATGGAAAGACGGGAGACATTTTCACCACAGAAATTCCCATAGACAGAGAGACCCTGAGGGACTGTCGATCCCTGGCTAAGGGTAAGCCCTGCTACCTGGAATTTGAAGTATCAGTGACAGATCTGATACAAAACCAGAGCCCACGACTTATTGAAGGACGCATTGAGGTACAGGACATCAATGACAACACTCCACAATTTCCGTCTTCTGTTCTCACCATCTCTGTCCCAGAGAACACGATCATGGGGGCACTATTCTCCATACCTCTAGCTACAGACAGGGATTCGGACAAGAATGGTGTGGCGGATTATGCTCTGACTGCAGGGCCAGACGCAGCAACCCTATTTGGTTTACAGGTGGCTGACGACAGGGGGGGGAAGCTCCCACAGCTCATTGTCCTGGGCAACCTAGATCGCGAGTTAAAGGATTCCTATGACCTCACCATCAAGGCAGTGGATGGAGGAAACCCTCAGCGCTACAGCAGTGCTTTGCTGAGGGTGGTAGTCACTGATGCTAATGATAACTCTCCCAAGTTTGAAAAGTCCACGTATGAGGCGGAAGTGTCGGAAAACAGTCCAGTGGGGCACTCTGTGTTGCAGGTAAGATTGTGATGCAAATATATTTGCTTTTAAGAACTTATTATTCTTGAGTGAAGAGTTAAATTGCAACCAAAATTGTTAGTGCTGCTTGATGTACTGCTTTGAATTTTATATACAGCAACAAAGAAACACAGCAATGCTCAGCCAATTTATCAAGATGTTTTTGAAAAATTAGTCTGTGTGTCATGTTTGTACAGTGTTTATTCCTCAGATACAGTCTGATTGTGTAAATTGAACCTAAAGATAGATATTTTTATTCTGACTTTAAAATATTTAGCCATACAACTCTGATGTTCAAAATTTAACCTCTTAGACTGAGCTCTCGAAAAACCAGGCCACACTTAGTTCTTGTCGGCTTACATATCTCCATCAAAGTTTTTATGAATTATATGTAAGTTGTTTCACTCCTATTACTCTATTTTGCATTTCAAGTAATACTAAGTATTAGAGCATTAGCACGATATGCTTGTACAGGTAATTAAGCTGCTTATCGCTTTTGTTGTCCTATTATACTTACAGAAATAGAGTTGGAGACACACAATGTCGGCGTGTAGGAGTAAGATACTTTGTGTAGGATTTTTTCTGCATACCACTGTGAAATTGCACTGGATGTTATGAAAGAAATAGCAGCCCTAATATTTTGTGTTTTCATGTGAACCTTTTCTCCAGTCCATTTTCTGGAATAAAAGGGGGGAAAGAGAAAATAAGGCCAGTGGCATAACCATCAAAAGCAGAGAGGAAGGGAAATAATGAAACATGGCCACATAAAGCAGTTCACTTGCTGTGCTTTGAAGTGATCAGACATCTGATGATTAATTAATTAATTCATTCATTGACCAGTGATTAGTAGAGAAAATCCTACAGTGGCCTCCTTCAATTCTAACCCCACATTGTTGCACATAAATCACACCTTTAACCACATTCCTTTTATTGTAGGTCAAAGCAAATGACTCTGACATGGGCCCTAATGGAGAAATTGAGTACACCCTTCACCAAGCAGTAGACCCAGTGCCGAAACTCTTACGAATTGATCGGTCCACTGGCATTATCTATGTCAAAGGACCACTGGACAGGGAGGAAATCAGCAGCCTGTCCTTCTATGTGGTGGCAAGGGATAAGGGTCCTCAACCGAAAAGCTCAAAGACATTTGTAACCATTGAGGTGACTGACCAAAATGACAATGCTCCAGCTGTTGAGATTCGTGGGATTGGCCTTGTGACACACAGTGAAGGAGTGGCTAACATTTCAGAGGACATGCCAGTAGGAACCGCCGTTGCTTTGGTGCAAGTGTCTGACAAGGATGAGGGAGAGAATGCTGTAGTCACTTGTGTGGTCGCAGGAGATGTGCCCTTCCAGCTCCGCCCTGCCAGTGACTCATCCAGTGACAACAAGAGGAAGTATTTCCTACAGACCACCACTCCTCTGGACTACGAAAGGGTTAGAGACTACCGAGTAGAGATTGTGGCTGTGGATTCTGGAAATCCAGCACTCTCTAGTACAAACTCTTTGAAGGTGCAGGTGACTGATGTGAACGATAACTCGCCAATATTCTCCCCAACCTTGTTTGAGGTAGATTTTGCCGAAGAAAACCAACCAGGGGAGAAGGTTTTGGATGTTACAGCTTCAGATGCTGACAGTGGCACTAACGCGGAACTGCTCTATAATATTTTGGCAGACTCATCCATCAAAGGCCTGTTTGAGATTGACCCAAATACAGGCGAAGTAAGAGCCCGCAGCCCGCTTGACCGTGAGCATAAAGAACACTATGAGTTCCGGGTCACAGCGGCAGATAAAGGGTCACCTGTTCATAAAGGAACAGCAACTGTTGTAATAAAAGTCCTTGACCGCAATGACAATGACCCTAAGTTCATGCTCAGTGGCTACAGCTTTTCAGTTTTGGAAAACATGCCTCCCCTTAGTCCAGTTGGGATGGTGACAGTACTGGATGTGGACAAAGGTGAGAACGCTCACGTTCACCTCTCTGTAGAGCCTGATGGAGGGAAGTTTGTTGTTCAAAATGGAACCGGCACCATTCTTTCAAGCATCTCATTTGACAGGGAGAAAGAAAGCAGCTATACTTTCCGTCTAAAAGCAGTGGATGGAGGAGAGCCACCCAGGTCTTCATATGTGGGTGTTACCATCAATGTACTGGATGAAAATGACAATGACCCTGTGGTCACCAAGCCCTCCAATTCTTCCTTCAGGCGCTTGTCACCTCTTGCTTCTCCAGATAGCCATGTTGAGGTAGTGGAAGCTGAAGACCTGGATAGTGGGCCTAATGCAGAGCTTGTCTTCAGTATTGCTGGTGGAAACCCATACCAGTTATTTCGAATCTCCCCCTCCAGTGGGGAAATCACTCTAGCAAAAGAGATGACCCGAAAACATGGTGGACTACATCGCCTAGTGGTGCGAGTGAGTGACAGGGGGAAGCCTGCACGTCATGCCACTGCCCTGGTCCACATCTATGTCAATGAAACCATTTCAAATGTCAGCTTAGTGGAGGCTCTAGTTGGACACAGTCTTTATACTCCACTGGACAGGGACATTGCTGGTGATCCTGACAATGTTTTTGCTGCACAGCGTAGTAACATTTTGTTTGGAAGTCTTGCCGGCGTGGCAGGTGTTGTCATGTTGATCTTGGTGGTGGTATTTATTCGACACCGCATCCAGAGAGAAACAAAGAGTGGTTATCAGGCTGGCAAGAAGGAAACAAAAGACTTATATGCACCCAAACAGGCACCAAAGAATGCCAAAGGCAAGCGAGGAAGGAAAGGAAAACCCCAGAAGTCCCCAAAACCACTCGGGGAAGAGGAGGAGGTTAGCCTTCAAAAGAGTCTCAAGTTCAACCTCGATGGAGTCAACGATAGCCCGAGGATACACCTGCCCTTAACATATTCGCCAGGAAGCCCTGATATAGGCAGGCACTACCGCTCCAACTCCCCTTTACCCTCCATTCAGCTGCAGGCCCAATCCCCCTCAGCATCACAGAAGCATCAGGCTGTCCAGGACCTTCCTGCCGCCAACACCTTTGTGGGCACAGGAGGAGATGACAACTCTACCGGGTCAGACCAGTACTCAGATTACAGTTACAAGACCAGCCAACCGAAGTATAACAACAAACAGGTAAAGTCATGCCTTATAAAATGTAACTAGATGGTCTGTTAGAGGAGTAATGGTCGGTGTGTTGCATAGCTTGAGGAGATTAAAGAGGGATAATTCAATTTTAGAACTATATATTATTTTTATTGTTTGCAACATTTAAAAAATTCTTATAGAATAAATTACTCTCATCTAGGACTATGTTGTCAGCTACAGTAATGTGCCATGATATATTATATGAGGCAATAAAATGATATTAAATTTGAATAATTTGAATAGCTTTTGCTATGGTTTTGCCATCATTGTAAAAATGTAAAATGATACTTTAAAATGTATCGCAGATTTGTTCCTGTCACTTCTTTCTCATTCACAATTTCAATCTCTGCAGAACTACACATAATGTGTGAGATGACAGATTAGGGAGAGGCAAAATGTCTACTCCCATTTGAAAAGCATATAACTTGTTAAAGATTTTATGAAATTGTTTTTCCCTAAATTTTAGTTGCCACTAAAAAAATTCATTCCCACATGGGCAACATTAATATGTTTTAGGAATCATTTTAATAACGATACAGTTTTTTGGACTCCAGTTATAGATTGAGTATAGTACTATTTCTCTCAATATTAACTGCAGTGAAATGCTGTCTTACTATTTGTTTTGCTTCCATGTAACTTCTCTGGAGGGTAGAATCGGATATATGAAGAAGGTTGCTGCAAAAATTATTAACCCCAGGTATCTGTTCAAGTGTTGCACTACTAGAAAACTTAGATGGCCCATATTTTGTTTTTTCATCGTGTTGGCAGTCGAGTTTTGCCATTTCTCAGTGACTTACTTCTGCTCTTGTGCCTGACCTCTAGAGCTCTGATCTCGGCAGGTCACTTGCTCTTATCTCCCTGCTCCTTATGCTCTTATCTCCTCTTATCTGTACAACATTTGGCAAGGCTCAAATCGCCATGGAAACAGAAATATTAATAGACTCAGAGGGGATTACGAACAGAAAAATTGTAGAGTCTAGGGATAGAAAGCTAGTGTGTCTCTAGGTTTCTGTGTCATCTGCAAGTGTGTGAATATTTGTTGTAGTATAGATGTGTATTTGTGTGTGTGTGTGTGTGTGTGTGTGTGTGTGTGTGTGTGTGTTCAGGGCGGATAAGGCAGACTACCATTATCCTTAAATAGTATAGCATTCTGTATAATAGTACAGCAACATGTCCATAGGTTGTGATCCCATCAGTTTATTAAGACCATTATATATGGACTATTAAAATGCCAATCCCTTTTTCCAGTAATAATTATTGTACTTAAGTTTCATTCTACATGAGGAAAAAAATCACTCAGTGTCTGTAGGAGGTCTGTAGGAGTATCACATAACTTCAAGAGCCCCCAAATCCAAAGACAGCCTCCTACAGGGGCATTCCTTTTCAAACAAACACTGCATCCACAATACACAACCTAACGTGACTGATAGTTCTAGCCACCTCTAACATTTACTGAGTGAAAACTGATTTTGATTTGTGAATCTCATAAATATTGACTAGCTGTAATAATCAAACATTCATGTTGCTACAGAGGTTTATAAAATGGCTATCATGTTTTTTTATTGAAAATATGTGCCATTGATGTATACAATTTATTTTCATCCAAGACAAGTTGACAGCAGCTTTCAAGACACTACCATATATCAAATCACAGTGTCATACATCCAAAGCAGTTTGACAATCTCCTAAGCTTTGCAGATAAAGTTTGCCACATAAAAATTAGTGGAAAAGTGGAAAATATGCCACTGAGCTCTGAACATGTGTAGGTGACATATTTTCTGTGGCGATATCTTCAGAGCCAGTATCACAGTTGGCTGGTTGGTAGTTTCAGCAGATGCTGGCTGACAGCTTAGGTGATCACAAGCCTATGTGGGTGGAGTCAGTTTAGAGAACAGTCACCACTGTCTCCTTGATGGACAACATAAGGGACCAAAATGACTGCAAGCCACAGGGTGTGTCTGGGTATTTGTGTGTAGTGCCAATCTCTGTGTTTGTGTGTAGATTTACTGCTTAGTAAAAGAGTGTTAATTGTAACTGTGGCGCAGATGTAAGCTCTCAGCACTTGACAGTGTTTGTGATTTCTCAATATGATAACATAAATGCGTATGAGACATGGCTCAAGTGATTGACAGGCTGTGTAAAAACATGAACAGATGTTGAAGCTCATGTGACATACCTCAGCAGATGCTGTCTCATGTATGGCATCCCCTCTTACATCAGGAAGAACAGATTGACCAAAATATATAATTAAAGTAACTGCCAAGTGATGTGACAGATGTAGAGTGGTGCCCCTGCTTTAATTAACTGTGTTACACTTGACAATGGCTTTTCATTGGGAATGTGGTCAGGTGTCTTGGTTTGTACTAAACTTCTTGGTATTGTGTCTGAAAGTTACAGCTTGCACGTTTACAGATTATGATTTATGAGCACAAGCTTTTTTTTTTTTTTTAAAAGTATTTGTAAGATTGTACCCAAACAGAGTTTAGCTCTGTAACTATCTGCAGCATTATCATTCTTTTTCTCCATCTCCCTCAGGCTTTAATTAAAGACATTCCACTTTTGAACAGCTATCTATTGTTGGTGGAAATCTGAGTCAGTGTTCAACAAATTAAAGCAGTCTCTGCTGAAAACTGTGAGACAAGTGTGTGTATGTGTGTATGGGGGTGAGGTGGTGGAGTTGGGTCTTGTAGTTATGTCGTTGATAGGACGTACATTTTTAAAACATGAGGATATTTTGCCCATTCCCAGATGTCCTGTATAGCCTTGTTTGCCACACATTCTTCACACATTAATTGATTTTTCCATTAGAATATAATTTATTTATTCACCAGAGAATATTTGTTTTATTTTAATTTATTATAGAAACTTCTACACCTATAAATCCTAAAGTTGAGCAGAATTGTTTGTTTTGTTTCCTGCACTAGGAGCTAGGACTGCTATCAATTCAGAAATTTCTTTAGATCAACCCACTTTGGAACAGAATTCCTGAAATGCCGTATAAGGTGTATAGGATATTTCTACAGACACACTGCACAGTTCAGGGCAATTGGGCAAAAAATATCCATTGCCTCACAGCAAATTCAAATTAAATCCATTTTCTAAAATGCTTGTTCCAAAAACAAAACAAAAAAACTAAACATAAAATGATAGGAATAGACTTAGACATCTGACAGGCTGAACAACAGTTGTCATGTACTGTATGTGTCTAGAACCAATGGAATTCAGAACCATGGACAGCGCTTTTTGTTGCCAACTGTTCCAACCCCTGTGCAGATGGAGTACCATTGCATCAGGAGCAGAGAGTAAAATGATTGGCCTATGTGAGGCTGATATACTGTAGATAGACTCCGGTCCTCAGTTAACAGCACACTTTAGAATTATACCTAATTAAAATGTCTCTACTACTTCTGACAATATAACCCATTTTTTTGGCAAGAAATATCCTAAACAAGTGCAAATGTACCATTAAACAGGCGCAAAATGTTTCTATAATATATTTAACCAAACGAGATAAGCTCATTGCATGATGGGGTGCTGTAGCTTCACTGTGCTGAACAGAGGTCCTTACAATTGCTTTCATTCTGCTTGCACCTGTTTGGGTTATATTGTAATTAAAGTAGGCTCATTGGGAATTTTCCTTTGGGTCTTGGCAAGGTAAACCACTCTCAGGTGTATATCACAATTTTGTCGTTGAGCCTAGATAAGTATTTACATACAGAAAAGTATGGATGTTTCAAAGAAATAATTATCCATATGGTAATATTGATAATGCGTAAATGCATGATATACAGCATGTCATATGCAGTGTGGACAATTCAAGTAAACATAGCAGAATTTAGTTGCTCCATAATGATGATACACTATATCATATTAACATTAACAACCTTGAATATGAACAACATATTTGCACACAGACGCCCCCTCATTTACTCATTCAAACTTTCTCCTAGAAGTTTGAGGATTAATTTATAAAAGTATGTTTGAACCTGTGAGTGATTTGTTTAATTAAATTTATATGATGCCAAGTTAAATCAAATTTACAGTCATACACATAGACATACAGTCTTTACATCTCTAAAGCAAGAAAACTGGAACTGGATTTTGCAGTTCTACAGTGACTATCTTTTTAGTTTTTAGTTCCCCCTTCTCATCACCTTTGAATGTGTGATATTGCATGGTGGTTGCTGGAGAAACCAATGACTCACATTTGTCATTAGATCTGATAATTAGCCCTTTTGGGTCCAAGAGCTAGCACCTTTTTTCACACGTCACTTAATGAGAATCCTACATTTTAACAGCATCCCATGTGAGCGGTAAGAAACACTTTATGTTACACAGCAGTCAGACTTCTTTCAAAGCTGTAAATTCATCCTTTATGTACATTCACACTATTAACACTATGCTTTATTTATCAAAAATGGATCACTGTTTTCCCCCTGTGGACTACTCATTCATCTCATGCCTTTCTGCAGTTACCTAAAGCCAAGGAAGGGGATTCTTAGAGTAGGAAACGGGTAGAGCAAGTCAGTGGGATTCTTAATTAACCTGCTTCTTTGTTAAGCAGGGCCCACACTTTCTGAACTTTGGGCATCCCTTTGAGCTGGGATTAGCCCAATTTAGCCCAATACTGCTGTTTGAACCCAGCAGAGGTATATTATAGACCAGGCCAGAGGCAAAATGTGCACTTGTTCTACGAAACTGTGAAACTGACTACTCTCTCTTACCTGTACTCAAGACCAATAAAACTAGAAATCATTGAAAAATATGTCGTCTGCATTTCAGTGATTAGTTGGGAAGGCAAGGAGTGCAGCTGACTTATTTTTCCTATCTTTCCCTATCTTTGTTTCCAATCTGCCTTCCAGTATTTTTCAAACAGGCCAGACACACACACATTCCCACACGCACATACACACATACACAAACATACACACACAGCTGATTACCCAGAAAAGGAAGGCTATAAGGAAAGTGAGGTAAAAGCATTGTAG